CCGAATTTTCATTACCATGTTCACTAGAACCCATCACTGGACCCTATAATGAGCCAGATTAATCCAGTCCACACCCTCATCCTATGTCTTTAAGATAGAGTTAATATTATCCTTCCATCTACTTCTACATCTTCCTAGTGGCTTCTTTCCTTCTGGCTTTTGTACCAGAATCCTCTATACACTCCTCTTCTCCCCATAGTGTCACATGCCCTGCCAATCTCTCTCACGTTGACTTGATCATTACCGCTTAAAAATTAGGAACTATATCGTAATATTTATTAGGTACCGTATGCAGTTTATGGAATAGGTCTGCATAGTGTACGTAAGTGATTAGGTTAAAATGGCAAGAAATTGTTCGGCCGTTAAGGAACATTAACTATAATGTAATTAGTCTTGGAGGGTTTTATAATCCCACACAAATACACATTAATAAATTAATTTTACTGCTTGAGCGCTACGTCTGTGGCTGGCAGGACCTAATATGATCCAATAAGCTTAGTAATTTATGACGAATCAATTAGACTGCACATAACAAGTTCACAAAGACCTCTCTTTATCTCGTTTGGTCTATCAGGCTTCTCTCATCTTGGCCAGTAGATTATTTCATAACGAAATTAATATAAAGTATTTATATTCTCTCAGTTGGGCCTCGTCTTCGTTTTGTGGTTGCTGGCTGTTATGGCCTGACGAGGCTGTGGGATTATTTACTTGCGCGCGGGACCATCTCATACATATTTATATTCTGATGGATCTTGGGGTCCTCCACACGCTAACAGCCCGGCTTATGCCCTTGTAAGGCACTCGTTTACTCACACCACTGCACGCTGTACACTCCAGGAACGCAGTTTCGTTCTCCTTATGATTTGCTTACTCCTCCGTAGCCACCTTTTCTTCGTCCTGTACTCTGTTCGCTCCTTCTTCCATTCTTGCATATTTAATTTTCTTTCTCTTTTTTGTTTCCTTCTTTATTTCTCTTCTGCTTCAGTTAATTTTATTCTTTCTTTCTTTCTTTTCTTGTTTCGCTCCTTTTCCAGTTTTTCGTCGTTGTTTCATTTTTCCTTGCTTGTTTGTTTTTTTCATCTTTTCTTTCGTCATGTACTTTGTTCACTCATTCTTCCAGTCGTCATTTCTAATTGTCTTTGTTTCTTTGATTCCTTCTTCAGTTTTCGTTCTTCCTTCCTTCGTTCCTGCTTCCTTGTGTTTTTCTTTGTTCCCTTCTTTATCTCTTTTCTACTTAACTTTCTTATTTAATTTTTGTTTCTTTTCTTGTTCCGCTCTTCGTCTCGTTTTTTCGTTATTCCGTTACTTTTGTTTTTTACAGCATTTTATGTCTTTCTTCCTTCCCTTTCTTGTGTGTTTCCCATGTTCTTTCTTCCTCTTTCCTTCCTCTCTTACGATCTCTCTCCTTCTCTGGGGCCAGAATAGTGGATTTGTATAAAACACACAGAAACACGGCAGTAAATTTTCACAACTCCGAAGACCACAGTTGAGCACAGAAATGTTTGAAATTTGAAAAATGCGCCAAAGATGGAGTCTTGTCTCACAGTGGAAAGTTTAAATGGCGCCAGTACTGAGAGTTCTGAATCAATTGAAATTAAGGGCCACAGTAGACGACAGTCCGCACCTTCATATGGGCAACAAATCAGTTTGTTATGCGTGTATAGACTCGCAGTCGAATTGTGGACTGCCATGATAGGTCATTCACCTCATTTACCAAGTCTAGCCCCTGTATCTCTCCTGTTTTCGGTGTCAGAAACTTGAATGCTGAAGTCGTCATTGTAGGCCCAATAAGGATCTACTGTAACATAAAACAGCCAGTTGACTGCTAATGAAATTTCCGAACATTAGGCTGATAAGTTGGACGAATGTTTTATTAAATTATTGTGACTCAAACAAATTACTTAAAGAATATGAAAGGAATTTGTTTGAATTAAGTATTTTGTTGACACTTGCAATTTTCTATAATAATTTGTTTATGCAGTATTGGCGAATTCTAAATAACAGATATTCCTCTTTTATTTCCAGGCATCCTAATTACAAGTTAAAGTTTATTTAAATAAATATGGAGTAACTTAAATAAATGGCCGGTCACGGTAGCCGAGCGGTCTAAGGCATGTACTGTCTTCGCTCGCTTGGAAACCGGGATCATGGGTTCGAATCCCTCTCAGGGCATGGATGTTTAGTTTGTATGTGCGTTTTTCTGTGTTTGTGTACAGGTAGAGGCCTTGCGACGAGCTGATCACCCGCCCAAGGAGTCCTACCGAATGTGTAAGATCTAGAAAAAAAACGGAGAAGTTCACGGAGGTAGGCCTAGGTCCACTTGGGCTGTAGTGCCAAGGAAAAAAAAACTTAAATAAATGAGTCAAAAGAAATTATATACATATTTTGGTATGACATATTCCTCGCGCAAATACCACGTTCGGATATGATGACTTCCAGCCACAGAATTCAATTTCAAATACACACAAATACAGAAAGTTCTCGAGCCACAAATGTCTGTGCATATTAATGGAACTATTACTCATCTTACCGATCACAAAGACCTGCGATCTGAACTGTGTACACTCTTATACAGGGTGATTCACCTGAAGGAGTCACCGAAGTAGTAATTATAAATCACGCAGTAATTTACTGATCATGACGAAACTTGGCGAGTGCGTAACCTTGATTGACGCTGAGACAGTTGGTTTACAGAAGGTGCCGAAATTTGCATCTCTCTGCTTGTCCAACACAGGCCGCCCTGACGCTCCATTTCGCGAAGTTTGCAGGAGAGATTGCAGCAGTTGGAGAGATGGCTCGGGCAGGGCAGGCAGACATCGGGCCAGTGTAACGAAGTACACATTGTTACCAAGATTAGTTTTTTTCCTTGGCACTACAGCCCCAGTGAGTGTAGGCCTACCTCCATGAACTTCTCCGTTCACTTCGGTTTTTCTAGATCTTACACATTCGGTAGGACTCCTTGGGCAGGTGATCAGCTCGTCGCAAGGCCCCTACCTATACACAAACACAGAAAAACGCACACACACACACACACAAACTAAACATCCTTGCCCTGAATTGGATTCGAACCCACGATCCTGGTTTCCAAGCGAGCGAAGACAGTACATGCCTTAGAACGCTCGGCTACCGTGACCGGCACCAAGATTCGTTTAGATCGTCAAATTATTGTATAATCTATAATTTTAAAACGTCTTCTCCGAGTGAATCATCCTGTACAGCTCAAAAACTGGGCTGGTGTGTTCGAATATCACTCGAGGCATGGTCGTATGTCTTCATTATTTCTATTTTTATGTCATCCCATGCCTTGTCATGGGATGATCATTCAGTTCTGTCAAATATATTTAAATAATATTCCCAAACTCGGAAAACACAAGGGCATGGACTACATTGTCTTGTCGTACCATACAAGAAGACGATGACTAAGCTAACTTCTTGGGGCTGAGCCCTACTTGAGAAGCCGCCAATTGTGTAGCTACTCAAGAACTTACCAGCAATTTATGGAACCCGAAAGTTCATTACCACTGGTCCCTAATCCGAGCCAGATCAATCCAATCCGTACCACCCCATCCTATCTCTCTTAAGATCCATTTTAATATTATCTACCCATCTATATCTCGTTATTCCTAGTGGTCTCTTTCCTTCTGACTTTCCCACCAATATGCTGTATGCATTACTCTTCGCTCCATTTGTACTACATGCTCTTCCCATCTTATACTCCTTGACTTCATCATTCTCTTTATACTTGTAGAGAGTACAAGTTATGAAGCTCCTCATTATGCAGTTTTCTCCAACCTCCTGTCACTTCATCTCTCTTCGGTACAAATATTTTCAACACCCTATTCTCAAACACTCTCGGCCTCTGTTCCTCCCTTAATATCAGAGACCGAGTTTCACACCCATACAGAACCATAGGAAAAGTTATAGTTTTGTATATTCAAATTTTTATGTTTTTAGACATCAGCCGAGAAGACAGAAGGTTCTGGACTGAATGGTAGCAAGCATTAACCTAATTCAAGAAGACTGCTTATCTTAATATTGCAATAATTTGGTTACACGGACGTTAATTAATACCAGCTTAAAAAGAGTTGTCTGTCTTGTGAGCTATTAGGAGCGCTCCCTAACACCTCACCCTTCCTTAATTAAACTTGTTTATCCTTAGGAACCGCACTTCCAGTAGGGAAAGCAGTGGCGGCACTCTTGTCGCATTTAGTCCTCTTCTGCTTTGTTTCATTTCCGATATTACAACGGTATTAGTCTCTACTATTATTAATCCCCAATACATTATATGTCATCTTAATTACGGGCTAAACAGGTTATTGTGTGCTGGCTTGCGAGCCTAACCATCAGTTCTAACGTTGGGTCTGTCAATTACAGATATAGGGATTGGCTCCTTCAGACGTAACTCGGCTGAGTAATTGTCCCCCCCCCCAACTTTCTATTCGTACTTTTAGAGCATCAGACGGTAGTGAAGTCCAGGAAGCTATTAATACTGTCATTAGAGCTCTTTAGAACTGACATATGCAGTACTATTGAATGCTGTTATTGTAGCGTGTAGAGCCGTTGCTGTGCAACGACCTCTAGATGGGCGGATGTACCAGGGCAGTTTCTGGACAGCGGCTCCGTAAACACGTTCCCGTAGCAGCAGACACGAACGCAGCAGTAGAAGGAATGTGTTTTCTATGTGGTCCGTGCCGAGATGTTATAAGCAAGGAACAAGGTTAATTTAGTCCAGTACGGGTGTCTGTGAATAGAGGACTTGAGTCCGGAGGCTGAAGAATAGCCATTATTAAAGCCATTACCAGGAAACGACTAGTAACAGACTGAGAACTCTAGACTGCGCGCTCTAGTGAGCTGTAAAATGTGGAAATCGGCGATAGTGTTATAGTTATTTGTAGTTACTACGTGTAAGTGGAAAATAAATTTGTTTACTAATCTGAACCCCGTCTCTAGTCTCACACAAACCGCGCGACAGTATTATGCCAATTCGGGGTCTTAGTTACCTGAATGTTCTGGGCTGGCGCGTGCGCACAACTTGTGTTTCTTCCCAGTGGCCTGTCGGTTTGATGCCGTCACAATGTTCCTTCTACTTCGCTCATCGTCAGCAGCAACTGCGAAAGAAATAAGGAGACCTGTTATTTATGAGGTTTAGATTTCGGTCCTCTGGTTAATTATACCATGTAGTCTGGTGGATGTTACCCACGTTTCGGAATAATGTTCCGCTCCCAGCTTCAGTGTCTGCTGTGCAATAGAGGTAGGAAGTGTGGGTTCCTACGGATTCGCAGTGACCGTCCGGTCTAAGCTACGTAATATCTCCATTCCCTCGAACACTTGGACCGTGGATTCGAATCCAAGTCGAGACATGGACGTGTGTCTGCATTTTCTCTGATTTTGTGTTATTTCGTGTAGATAGCGGGGAGACGCTGTAGCGTAGTTGGTTGAGACACTACGCTACAAGCCAGAAAGTCGCGGGCTCAATTCTCGAGGTGGTCATTGGATTTTTAATTGACCTAATCCTTCTAGCTGCACTATGGCTCTGGGATCGACTCAGCTTCTAACAGAAATGAATACCAGGAATCTTCCTTGGGGTAAAGGGCGGCCGACGCGTAAGGCTAACAAACTTACCGCCATCTGTGAACCGATTGTCTAGGAAATGGGGGAGCCTCGACGTCTCACAACTCTATGAACCTCCTCGGCCTGTTACAGGGATAGCTTTAATTATAATTTTTAATTTTTTATGTAGATAGCGGCCGTATGGGAAAAAACTATTCCCTTAACAGGCCGTGGAGGCCCATAGGTTTGTGAGACGTCGAGGCTCCCACATTTTCTAGACAGTCATCTCACAGATGGCGGTAAGTTTGTTAGCCTTACGCTCCGGCCGCCATTTATCCCCAGGAAGATTCCTGGTACTCATTTATGTTAGAGGCTGAGTCGACTCCAGAGCCATAGTGCGGCAAGGAGGATTAGGTTCATTGAAAAATCCAATGACCTCATCGGGAATGAAACCTGTAACCTTCCGGTATGTAGCATAGTGCCTCAAACATCTAAGCTACCGCGTGCCTCAAATTATGTGAACTTTTGTGAACAGTTTCTTGAGTGGGATTTGTAGTTTCCTAGGTAACTATTTAGACTGCCGTCTTCTGGGACATGTCACCGTGTAGTCTGGTAGGTTATTACTGACTTTTTCGAATGAACGTTGTTCCCATATTCCTGTATGTGTTTACCAGCGTTTCGGAGGAGTACGATGCCTACCTCTTCAGGTACGTGGTTAGAAACATGTAGGATGTATATCGTTCCTCCATCTCTGTAACAGAAGTCCCATTCTTCTGCCACTAATATGGAGACAATATATTTCTATGAAACTTCAGTATGTACTCGTATGTACCAGAATACACGGTGTCACATCCCAGAACACTGTAATCTGAATACCGACCGCCATACAAAATAACAATAAATCACAAACTTCAAAGTATTGTCACATGTACGGGTGACTATAAACGGGGTTTGGGTTGATGAATAGAATTATTGACCACTCACAGGCCGTAAGTACAAATAACTACGCATAACACTATTGCTGATTTCCACACTGCAGATCGCTCCACGCTCCCTTCTCAGTTTGCTTTTACTAATCTTTATTTGGTAACAGCTCTCAACAATGGCTATTGATCTGCAATATTTTTCACTAAAAGTTTGTTGATAACAAATCCTAGTAATGGCGATTCATCAGCTTCCGTAGTCACGCCGTTGCTTGCTAGTTAACACTCCATAGCTGAACTCTGAACTGCACTGAACTCCCAACTGAACTAACAACCTAGTTCACGTCACTTCATTCAACGGATTCGAATTGGACTTGAATTGGATCGTCCAAGTCAAATTGCGACTGACGGTCAGTCAATCAGTAAGTCTTGGTGTCGAGCCCCCTTGTAGGGCTCATGCCCAGATATTTATTACCTTTAATAGTTACGGTCTTGTTTTTGTGGGGCGCCCTCTCTGACGAGACGACGGGTCTGCCTTTTTTATGTGCTGCTGGTCCTTGCCAGTGCAGTCTTTCTAGAATCTGAGTCCCTTGGGACTCGAGACCATATTTTACTGTCTCAGATTTGAGACTTCCCTTTTCGTCGCCTCTTACGACTCGCAGGGTCACGGTGGAGGTATTGTACCCCGCCTCCACACGGGTTTGTGTTTCTCACTCCCGAACCTTGAATTGGATCGTCAACCAACTACTTCTTCATAACCATTTTGAACGGACCGAATAGAAAACGCCGTTTCCAACAATGCGTGTTTACCGATCCGTTGCTTAGAAACAGTAGTACTTCTATTGCGTGCGCATTCATTTCCGCGGGAACTTGTTTACCTAGTCGTTGCGTAGCAATGAACTATTCCAATTTATAGGCGTCATGTCACAGTATGTCCACCGCTGGTAGGTGTTGCTGGGTCCGGTGATTATGATTCGTTACATCTTTGTCCGTGATGATATCATTGTTCAGAACTTTAATATAACCAAGAGGATGTCACACCTCTGAATACACTGTACATTGTCGTTATTAATATTTTCATTTGTGTTTTTGTTTATTTTCGGCGTGGTTACGAAGCTTCTCTTCTGTTGATGTAGCTTAGGGTTCCAGCATGTCTAAATCCAGCTCTGCCTTTCTGGAACAGTCATGTGTTAATCCTTTGTGTACATCGTTCTCAACTGTGCCATCGCACCGGCGAGGGAGGTGCGTGTTGACTGTGAATGCTGCCTCGGTGACCAATTTATTTAAATAGAAACTCTCTGTAATATTGGACGAACATACCCAGTTTTACTGGTGTGAAATGACACGTTTCGACTAAGTGTTTATTTGGTTCAAACATTTTCAAACTCACATTAATTACGTATTCAGTTGTTTCATGCATACATAGATGAGAAACACAAATTAAACTCTTATAATTTTGTATCTGTAAATATATGAGACGTAAACGGAGTTCATGGAGGTAGGCCTAGGCTCACTGGGGCTGTAGTGCCAAGGAAAAAAAAATATGAGACGAACGCCTCTGTGGTCTACTAGTCAGAGTTCCTGGCAACAGATCCAGACGTGTTGGGTTCGATTGCCGGCGCTACAATATTTTCTGAGAAGTATTGGGTCTGGAATGGAGTCCACTCACCCTCGTGAGGATGAGTATGAGTATGAGTATGAGGGGTGAGCCATAGAAACCGGCCCTCGCACTGCGGTCTTCAATGATCTATTGTGCTTCCCCTTTCGATTAACCCTTTATTAATCCTGCATTTCGAATGAAACGTAGGACTTTGTTTACGGGGGCGTCATAAAAGTCACTTAGTTCCATGAAGAATTGACCCAGCTGGCGATATCTTAGGTAAGCTACAGCCTCACAGCCTCATGAGGATAATTGAGGAGCCGTATCGAGGAAATAGTGGCTCCGGTCTAGAAAACCGCGATTGACGGCCATGGGGATCTTTTTTTATTGTGGAAAGAATTATTGTAAATGCAAAAAAGGCCTAGGCAATGCCCATCCGGCCTTCTGTAGCACATTCTTATTAACATATTTTTCTATAATAGTGGTCACGCCGCGATTCTTAACTTAAATCCGTTGCGCTGACCACGCGACACCCTCTATCTGCAAAATTTGGCACTAACTTCGCCGACAAGCGGCGGTCGCTCGGTCGGTATACTTTGCTTGCGGACTGCAGGCCACGGAGTTCAAATATATGGGACTTGTGAAGCGGGACTGAGCTGGCGATATTGCCCCTCAACCAAAATAATTGTCAATCCATGTCTTACATTATCAGAACACAGGGAACGTGGGTTCAGATCTTGACAGCGATACCGATTTCCGTGTTTTTTCATTATCGATGCGTTTTATTTGTGGCATATCTAATGACCCAGTACTTTGTACTACATAGCGCCGAACGGTAAGATGAATTGGAGAGGATGAGGAAGGAAGCGGCCGTGGCCTAATTTGAGGTACTGTCCCAGCAATTCGCTCTGGGAGACTGGGAATCACATTAAAAATTCGGGATTGATCTGAACCCGCGACTTCCAGAATTTGAAGCAAGCGCTGTATCCACTCGGTGCAGACATACCGTGTTTCTCATTATCATCAATAATTCTCTTCATTTCAATGATCTCTCACACAAGTTTGGAATTCTTCCTTGAGCTTCTCACCCATACAGAGAATATGTTTTTACGATGTAGGAACCTTGGGACATTAATCCCAATATTGAGAAAACCCGGGAAATTTCGAAAAAATGTTCTGATAACAGATAAATGTAGAGAGATATGATAGGATGGGATGAATTGGATTGATCTGGCTCAGGATATGGACCAGTGGAGGTCTCTTGTGAACACCGTAATGAACCTTCGGGTTCCATAAAATGCTGGGAAATTCTTGAGTAGCTGCAAATTTGGCTTCTCCTCAAGAAGGGCTCATCTCCGTAAGTAAGTAAGTAAGTTCTGATGAAAGTGTGGTCATTCTGTGTGGACGTGAATTGGCGCAGATTGGCAGAGCACAGGCACGAAACGGACCCGTGAACAAGGAAGGTTTGGCTGCAGTTTATGTCAGTGCATGTTTCTCCCGCTGCGTGACAAGTGGCAACGTTACACGATGCGACAATCGTATCGAAATCATCATTAACGTTTAAATTATAATTGAGGTTTGTGCTCCTCAAAAGGACGAACAGGCCAAGCATGGCTTAATCAGTGAAGAACAAGACGAAGGTGCTGATGGTTATGATGATTACTGTTTTAATTAGATGTTAGGCATATAATTAAAAACATAAGCGGTATTATAAACACTGAATTCAATGAAATACGAATGATTAATATTTGTCAGATTTGAGGTTATAAGAGCGGCGACTGTGAAGATTACCATTTCTGGGATATGACATAATGTAATCCGGAGTTAGACGACGTTTCGGAGTAACTTACAGCTTTGGTCTTCACTGTCAAAGAGTATTCAAGCAAGTAGCCAGAAAAGGGAAACAAGAAGCATGATTCTTATTTAACACATCCTTAACCCTGAAGATTGAGGCAGTACGTTCTTCCGAAACGTCTGGTTTATGCCGAACTGCGTCACATCCCATAAGGTAGAATTCTTCTATTAAGATTTATAT